AATACACGGGAATGTCATGTGCGTGTGGTGATGGGGTGCAGTGGAAAGGAATGGATCAGGGGAGTTAATAGTAATACCGAGGACGTCGGCGGCGAGCTCGCGGAAGCGGATGTGGCGGCGGCCGCGGGCCTCGCAGTGCTCGAGGACGCGGGACATGAGGGAGTACTCGTAGAAGGTGACGGCGCCGACGGCGGTGAGCACGGTGAGTCCCAGCGCCCACCCCATCCCGCGCAGCGCGTACGGCAGCGTCAGCACCGTCGGCCCCACGATCGCCGTCGTCAGGTGGAACCCGGCGTGCCACCACGTCCCTGCAAGGTCGCCCCGCGACGGGACCCAACCACAGATCACAGCAGAATCAGCCCTCGCATTGCGCGCGGAAGGCGGGCGGGGGGTGGAGGGGTGTGACCTACCTTTGGACTCGAGCACGAAGGCGGCGCCGGCGTCGGCGGCGGGCGGCTTGGCGGCCGCGCCGGCCTCGGCGTCGAACGCCGCGTGCGCCATCGCCTTCGTCTCCAGTCGTCCCGTGCCGCGCCACGCCACGCCACGGTATTTATACGCGGCAAAGGCGACGCGAAGAGGAGAGGATTCGCTCGGCCACTCTCTCTCTCTCTCTGTGGATGCGTGTAAATCCCAAGCCCCTAATCTGATGAACCAACTTAATCGGTGCGTTAATTGAGCGGTAACGAGGAGATTAAATGTTGTAATCTCGCGATTACTGCTCCAACTGCGAGTGCCAGAGGCTTTGCGGGGATCCGCTTTGATCAGTTGATCGTCTACTAGTAGGAGTAGCTGTTTGGTTCTCGTTGGGCGCCCGGCCCCCGTATTTATGCTGCGTGGCCGGATCGGCGGTGAGGTGAGGACGTGAGGAGGTTAATTAAAAGGGCTCTGTTCCAAGTGGACGTCGTCGTCTTCGGATTAGAGTAAAACAAATCAAATTGGCCAATCTGACTAGATTCATTAGACTCACTTCTATTGAGTGGTAGCGGTTAACTTTTCACTTGCATGCAAAAGATGAGCACATAATAATTAAGTATCAATTATTATAAACTTAAAAATAAGTTTATTTGATTTTTAAGAAAACTTCTATATATTTAGTATAAAAACATTACTCCCTCCGTTTCAGGTTATACGATGTTTGGACTTCGATCAAAGTCAAACTGCTTCAAGTTTGACCAAGGTTATAGAAAAAAATAGTAATATTTTCGACTCAAGATAAATTGATTATAAAAATATATTTAATTATTAATTTAATAAAACTAATTTGGTAATGTAAACTTAGTCTAACTTGAATTAGTTTGACTTTGACCAAAGTCAAAACATCTTATAACCTGAAACAGAGAGGAGTATTTAATAGTTTAGGAAGCGTGTGCTAATTAAAAAACGAGGAATTTGTAACATCAAAACGCCCAAACCAAGCGTGCTAATGAAAAATTGTGCTTGTTGGCTTATAGGCTATCGTCGGAATTTGAATTTTAGAAGTTATTTTTTGTTGATTTTAGTGTGTGTTTTTTCTTTCTATTTTTTTATTTTTTTAGTTGATTTTATATCTTTTGGATAAATAGAACTATACTATAAGTTTTACCCTAAACACCCTTGGATGCTTTCTAGAATTGTTGATTGTTTGGATCGATGGCAATCATTATTGTCTCATTTTGCCAAATTTTTGTGATGTTCACGTGGCTTTACATTTCCCATTTTTGGACAGAAAGTTTTGTTTTATCCCATTTTAAGCCCTTCTATTTGGCCCCCTGTTTCATTTCGTTGGGAATGTTTGGCTAAACTACTGGATACTAATTACACGACCAAATGGTAGCAAAGCGAGATGAGCGTGTTTAAGTTGGTGACCAAAGTTACCACAACCAAACCTTACCAAAATTTAGTCACGATGACGATGAGTGTGTTTTAGTGTTTGGCTCGGTGAACAAAACTGCCTCAACTAAACTTTATCAAATTCCCCTAATACAACTTTAAATATAATAGAACTCATGAAAATTAGTGCAAATTATGTTGTCCGCTCTCATTTACTCGTTTATGAACAGTTGATTGATGGAGAACAAAGGTAAACTTGTTGAGAGAGAGGTGATAACACCCTAGGCTCTAGCCTACAACTTATTGAAGGTTGTCACTACTCGGAAGCCCCTCTTTCTCCTTTTTCAGAGTTATTGCTGGCATTGAGTAACCTATTCTTTTCCATTAGTTATCTAGGATATTTTATTCTTTTTCTTGTGTTTTCCCTAGATCTTTGATAAATGTTCTTTTCACTCGTTAAATCTTTATATTCTATTTAACTGGAACTCGCTTACCGTAACTATTGCTATAAAAGAGCCATAAAAATCACATCATCACTTATCTTTGACACTCTCGGATGATGCTTTAGCATTCCAATTATCACATAATCTTTCTAGCTTCCATGATTTCTTTTTGGTTGTTGGATAGAATCATTTTTTTGGTGAGATTTATAGCATTTGGTTCATATTTGCATTTTTACAACTGTACTATAGCACCATCCTACGGTAACACACAGGATGTCATCTAGTACTACAACATTTATTTACTTGTAATGGCTTTTGCATGACCACTTTGACAAGAAAGGTGAGAAAGGTAGTCCGTGCTAAATATCGCCACCTTATTTAATTGGTTATAAATATCTCCTCTAGCTTTGTCAACAACAAAAAAAATATAGGTTTTGGTCACAAGGCAGCTGTGGGCGACTGCAGTCGTAGCCGCAGAACCACCTAACAAACAGCCCCCTAAAAACTAGATACCAAGGTGCACACTCTAAGGGCACCTTTGATTCAGAGAAAAACATAAAAATTCTATAGTAAAAAATTCTATGAATGCCTTTGAAGTAAATGATTGATTCCTATCATATCTTTTAAAAATCCTATGGAATGGACAATCCTATAGAGATTTTGGAGAAAATTTAGCATGAGCTTCAACCTATTGAAAAATTTCCTTTGAGTCTATCTCTCTCATTCGATTCCTATGTTTTTCATGTGATCCAATCAAACGGTCATTCCTATGTTTTGCAATCTTCTATTTTGCACTTTCATTCCTATCAGTATTCTTTTTTTTTCTAATCCTACGTTTTTTCATTCCTACGATTCAAAGGGGCCCTAATTTATCTACAGAAATCAATGGATTTACATAATCATCAATAATCATATCGTTGTAAAAACAAAAAATGACGAACTCATAGGCAGAATCTTTGTTGAGTTTTGTTGTAGCAATTAGTTTGGTTTATTCGCTATTTTATTTATGTCGATTTACCTAAAAATTGTATTAACCAAGCTACACTTTTTTTTCGTTTTATTACAATTGTTTCACCTTTTTCAGTCCAAGAACAAAGTAAACATAGGAACTGTTGGATACGAGTTAATAAGAGTGGTAAACTAAGTAACTTCACTTGATAAATAGGTAGTCCATTTTTCAATTTTGATTTCTAAAAATTCTTGGTAGCGTTTGAATGTAGATTTAAGGACACCACCCTGTTGTTTTTGGATGAAGAGCCGATGGATGATGGATTTGTTTATATGGATGAAAAATAAATATGATCTAAGCAGTACTGACGTAAAAGAGTTTTAGATAAATCATGTATTTTTTAAAGCACGGGACAAATAATCTGTAAAAGTAACCAATTATCCTAGGCCTCCGTAGATCAATTTATACCAGTAAATAGGATATGCCATACCGGCGTACTTTCTCCGTTCCTAAAAAGTCAATTTGTAGATATGAATATGATATACATCTATCTAGTTCATCCTGGAAGTTAGTCCTTTTTTCTAAGACAACCAACTAGGTACGAATATGGATAAAAATATGGATAAACATCTGTCTAGGTTTGTTTCTAGAAGTTGTTTTTTAGATGGAGGGTGTACCCTAAAGGTTTGTCTCTCTCTCTGAGATGGTGTACCCCGACCATTATTTTCTCGATATTAGGAGGAACGAAAAGTGAAAAACCAAGTTGGTAAGATACCGCCAGATTACAGCTGATGCACCTGTGGAAAACCTTGGGTAACTTTCCTGCGGTTCGGGATGTTTCAGAATTCAGATTGAAAACGTTGTCTTGGACGGACGTTCCAGGAAGATTGCCTCTGCAACCACGGATCATACATTTCCGCGACACTGAATCATACACACTTTGTGCTCCTTTTTGCTACCAACTTACTTGATTATTGCAGTTCTTTATTTCACTCGCAATGTACGATCGCAGTGTAACATCTGTAGCGGAGGCAAAATCGAGGATTCGGACCTCCGAGTCGAACCGCACTACACGCAGTGCGGCTGTGGAAAACGGCTAGCCCCCCATCTTTCTACGTGTAATGTTTTGTTTTAACATGGAAAAGGGGAGCTCATTGGATCTATCTAATCTTTTTTTACCACTGTCTTGATCTGGCAACAATGTACTGACCTGTCTTGTCTGGTGTAGTAGAAATCAGTGTTAGTGGATGACTTGTGAGGCGCGGCGAGCCAATTGCCGCGCGGCAACACAGACCACTTAAGGTAGCTCGAGTTCTAGCCCAGGGGCAATAACAATGACAGAAATATTCGTAGGAGACACAAGAGGGGCAGAGGCTTATCAGGTATATAACGAATTGATTCGGATTGATCAGCGCATGAAGAAACAGCCGGCTCCAATCATCCAACCGGAAGTCAATTTTAGCATGCTTGAATGCTTATGTGTGCTTCAGTACTTGAGTTGTTGTCTGAAAGAAAATACTATGTTAGTAGCATAAGGGGAACAAACGTAATCAATGAACTGGTTAACACAAACGCCACAAGCCGGCAAATACGGTTTAGTTACAGTACAGTTCATGTGCAAGAAACTTCAGTAAGGAAATTACTTTGGTCTGAAAGGATATAAGTACTTACCAAAAATTTTGGAGCATGAGTGCCGCAAAGTGTGGAACAACAACCATGCTGGGCTTCCGGACTAGTTTTTTAGCACCATGGTGTCACAAAAGGTGATTCAGGGGGAGGCGACCGTGAGACTGCAAATATACAAATCTGGGAGGCGGCGACCGTGATACCCGCAAGAGGTGATTCACCAGTATATATTTACAAATATATATTAGAAAAATGTATAGCTCTACCAATATATTACAAGCCGACAATTGCACATATACCTAATGCTTCCCATGGTGAGGCAACATACCAACATGGTGATAGCACAGATAAGAAACATATACAGGCAGAGCAGAGAAGTTAGAGCTGCCTGGTAGATCGAATCGTTTCAGTAAAAGGCATGGAGGTTTGGAATTAGTAGGAGGAAGATTATTAATAGTAAAATCATGGGAACATGTGATCTACCAGCTTCTTGGACACCACAACTTGCTGCGTAGTCCAGGCTTGAGGTACACTTAAAAAGCTTCAATCTCACTATTAGTAGATATCACAAACTTGCCTCCAATTTGCAGCTACGAGGGGTAGGAGTAATAATAGACCCACTATCCAGCTATCTAAACTCTTCAGGGACATGCATGCCAAAACCACGCTTCAGCTTCTCAATCCTATTCAAGGAAAATTTGATAACTGTAAGTCGATCGGGATAGTGATAATAGAAGCAAATTTGTCAAGATGCCTGGGTGAGAGCTAAGAAATTGACTTGCATCAGTGCCAGTACAGTTTTGTATTGTTTGTAACAAAAAAATATCTACATCCAAATATGAACAAAATGATCGACAGAAACTATTGTCATTACTAATGGGTGCCACGAGCTACTGCAGGAACAAAGACAATTTTTTAGAAGGAACCATGAAAAGGTGCATTTTTCCTTAAATTCCTTGACTGACAAAAAATATTAATTTAGACAGAGCATCAAACTAGATAAGGTCTTTAGGTTTGGTGCGATGACTGTGTGTAGATTTAGTGGAATTCCTATAGTAACCGTGGTGCTACTTTTTATATTTTGATCTGAAATAGTTAGTAGTAATGACTATTGAAATAAAATAAATTGTGGCAACCTGTATGGGATTATTTTCCATCGTGTTGAGTTTTCCAGTAGATGGTCCTAAGAAATTCACATGTTTCACTTAGTAAAGCTAAGTGATCTAGCCAGTAGCCATGTATACCTACTTCTAAGAATGAGCCAGGAAACATTGCTCTAGCATGCAACATGACACACCATTACCGCAAACACGACTGATGATAATGCATGTACACAGCCATACAGCTATAATGCCAAATTGCAAGTGCTCAGCCCAAATTCAAATCATTTCAAATTACAAGCAACATGGATGATCATGGCCAAGCAACATGAAGTTCATGGCCTTGGTGATTTTATGATGGAAGTTGGAAAACAAAGTAAGCTTGCAATGCTTGGATGGAAGATTATATATACATCAGCACTACGGATTGTTAACAAATAAAGAATAGACAATGGTAAGATCAAAATGGTGAAATATCTTTGATATCAATTGTATTCACAGACATTATGCTTTTGAGATATATCAGATGTTTAATCTCAGAAAAAGCATGATTGTGATCATGAGCCAAATGAATTCTGGAAAAGAAAAGCAGAATACATTACTAAGTTCCTGCTTTTATACTAAAGCAGTTTGAGCAAAATCCAATGGACAAAGTAATTAATATTCAAAAAAATGCAATATATGTTGAGAAAAAGAAGGTACGCCTTATATAAGATAAAGCAGTCGACTGTTTGGACAAAAAAAATGTACAAAATGTAAAAAAACTCACGTGGGAGCAAGTTTGCCAAGACTGCGTAGCTTCTTGCCAGTTTCTTCATCAGTAATATTTCCAGAAATCTCTACAGAATATGATTTGCCAGAGATGCGTGGAAGCCCTCTTCCTACAAGCAAATCTAGATCTCTCTGATGAAGTTCTCTGCCATTCACGAAAACACCACTATCCCCACTAGCACAGTTACTGGCCATCGGGTAATTGAATTCTCTTATGAATGGCTGCGCATTTTAAAAAATCATCAGAAGTTTAGAACAAAATTTTCTAAGAGCACCTTAGTTTACAAATAACTCGACTTACAGGGATAATGCCGATACATTCTCGCCCCATGACACCCCAAAACCCAGCACGGTAGTCGTACCTGTATCACGAACAGAAGAACCAGAATTGTTAATGTTGGCTAAAAAATCCTCTATGAACCAATAGAAATTTAATCATATCAGCATTTATCATAAATATCCAACAAAAAAACGTTAAAATGAAACAACTTAGATAGATAATGCGTACTTCAGAATAATATTTACTACCTCCGTTTCAGATTATAAGACTTTCTAGCATTGTCCACTTCCATATTGATGTTAATGAATCTAGGCACACATATATGTCTAGACTCATCAACATATATATGAATGTGGATTGTGGGCAATGCTAGAAAGTCTTATAATATGAAACGGAGGAAGTAATACTTATCAATTGCCAAAACAAAGCCCCAAATTGGGTGAAAAATTCACAATAATTTTCAAAATGTTGCAGTTATAAAAGTCTATTGCGCGGCTACGGGAAAAACAGTTCTACTAATGTAAGTTCAAAGTTAAGAAGCTCAACAGTATTTTCATCAATAATGTAGGTTTTCTTGTAGTAAACTAGTAATTTAGATAAGTGATTGTGGTATGCTGCAGATGAGTGGCTCTATCAAAATTAACTTTTATAGTTTTATGACCAAGACAAGCCAATCCATTCAGTGAAACTAAAACAAATACAGCAAACTGCCAAACAATTTGTTACTATAGCAATCACTCACCAATACGAGCCAGGCTCAACAGGACCAGCTTTTTTCTCTGCCTTCTTAAGAGCTCTTTCAGAGATAGGATGGCCATTAATTGAAACCTTAACGCTGTCCATGGACTGATTAAATAAAGAAAGGTCCTTGAAACCCTTCTTCAGGAAACCAGCAAAAAATGACGAATCCCCACTCTTTCCAGTTGAGGGCTGATCTTCTTCTAATGCAGTCTCAGAAGAACCACGGGAAAAACCAGAATTTGTACGCTCATTAAATGATGATCCCCCACTCTCTGCAAAGGCATTGCCATCTTCAACAAAAGGCTGGTCCAAACTTCCATTTTCTTCCTCTGTTTTCTTTTCTTCAGATATCTCGCTTAAGCTTGCCGCATCAGAGGCATTTCTAGTATCTTCAAGGGGGGCATTGGCATCTTCAAGGGCACTATTTTCACTTTCTTTGTTGTTTTTGTCAAACCCCTTCTTAACATTCTCACCTTCAAGGCCACTATTTTCGTCTTCTTTGCTCTTTTGCTCATGTTCCTTGTTCAAACTTTCACCTTCAAGACTATTGGTATCATCTTTTTTGCTTTCAAACTCATGCTTTTCATTTCCATCTACAGCACTGCTAATATTATCTTTTGTACTATCAAATTCATGAGTTTTGCTAACATCTTCAGGGCTAGAGTGATCGTCCTTGCTCTTCTGTTCATGGGTTTTGCACATGCTTTCATCTACAAGGGAATCTTCATCGCATTCCTTTCTCTTCTGTTCACTTCCCATACTAAGACTCCCATCATCATCATCATTAACTTTGTGTTCTCCTTTGCAATTTACATCAGATATATTAGCCATGCCTAGGTCCTCACTATTATTATCCTTTTCCTGGCTGCACAATGGATCAACAAGTTTGTCCTCTAAAACTGGGGAACATGGGCTGACTCGAGCATCTGAAGGTTCTACCTGACATTCAGCATCTCTTTCGCATAATATATCCTTCGGGCTCTCAATATCTCCAGATCTGCTTGGAGACAACAAGAGCCCATCTGTTTTTAACTGAATGCTCCTGCTTGATCCACATCCTTTCTCAGTCCTGTCATGACTAATGGAAGAAGAAACTGAATGATCATCACCAAAGTCTATGTTGATTTGCATGCTGCTATGCTCATTCAAATTATAAAAGGCAGAATTGGCAAACTCATTGAGCTGGTGCTCAAAATCTCGCCTAGTTTGATCATTTGAACCTTGCTCAATTTTGGGCACACAAAAGGATGCTGATGGTGAGAAGGGGATAACTTTCTCCTCACGCTTCAAACTGACAATCTGAGAGCAAGACCCACACTGCAGCCGATTCCTCCCCATACACTTTTCCATTGGAACCTGCAACAGCTGATAACAAGAACTGCACACAACAAAAGGGGCGGCGCCATAAACAGGACGGCAAAGATGCTCTGCCTTCTTCCGGAAATACTCTGCTCTCTTCTTTGAAACCGACCGATGCGAGTACAATGATGATGCTACGGACCTCCGGTCATAGTCCGATGAGACAGATGGCGACCTTTCAAACCGGTAGCACTCATGCTGCCCAGCAAAGTATCTCGCCATTGGAATGTGCTCTTCTTGTGGTGCAGTTCTCTGTCCATGTAGACAATGCGGACAGGAACATGTATAAGAAGGATTGTAATTCCCATGTCCAACTCCACAGCCATCCCATTGCCTCCCTTGATACTGCCGATACCGCCCACTTGACTGTCTGGAGTACCTCTCCCCAATCTCAGGGCGCAGCGGCTCGTAGGGGCTCGGCGGCAAGCCGTGCCCATACCGCCCACCACCATAGCGTGAGCGGTGATACCCTGGCATTGGTGGCGGCTCAGGGTTCTCAGGGAGCAGCGAGAGCGCTCGTCGGCCCGCCCGACGGTGCTCCCGCGGCGGCTCGACGATCTGGCAGGTCCTCGTGATCTGCTCCCTCAGCTCGTCCAGCTTGCGGAGCAACTCCACTGGGTCCTGCTTCAGCGCGTGCCAGTCGAGCGCCCTCTGCTCGCTGCATTGCGCCCGCTCGTCGAGCCCAATCCTCCGCCTGTACTTCATCTCCTTCAGATCGCTCCCCATGGCGCGCGCCTCCCGGAGAAGACACGCTTCCTACTCCCCCACCACTTGGCGGATCGAGAGGTGACGCTGTGTTCTACACGGATTGAGAGAAATCTGTGAGGCGGTTGGGACGGTGGAGGAACAGATCAGCAGTGGATCCAGAGAAGATGCCAAATGAGGTAAGATCCGCCGGTTCCGCGGGGGGATGGGAGGCGAAGCGGGGATTACCTTCCGACCAGCTCGCTGCGGCGAGGCTACGGCACAGGGGCGTGGCGGCGCCGCCGGCTCGCCATTTAGGGTTTCGTGGGGCGGCTCGAGGATTCCGCCATGGGAGAGAGGAGGAGGAGGAGGGGAACGGCACTCGCAGTGGCAGTGTGCGCGTGGTAACGGAGACGACGAGGGAGCCAACTGAAAGAGCCTTATATATACCCACGAGCCCACGAGGGACCTGTTTGTAATTAGTATATTTTCCGGGGGGGTCGGTCGCGGTGGGGTTTCGTGGGGATGTGGTCCGCTTTTGGAATGATCTGGCTGCGCCGCTGACGTGGGGGGGTCAAAAGGTAGGGCCCACGTGGAAGCGAGCGGCAAAGGTGGGGTACAGCTGGTGAAATGGAATTCGCCGTATCTCTCTTCTTTTCTTTTCTTTTCTTTTCCATTTCGTCTTGGGAGAGCCATTATTTAGCATTTTAGCATCAGTCCTGCATAACCCACAGTGATAATTAAATTAGTAGTTAATCAATCACTTATCCATCGTATGAACACTTGAACAGGCTGAAGCTAAGATAATGGTCACAATCTCAACTACTTTCTTAGTTTGGTAGTACCAGCATCAATTCTTTCATTCTTGTGCCAAACATCTCACTGGGAGAAACAATAAAATAAGGCCGGTGATGCTTGTACGTGGGATAGTTGGTTATTTGTGAAGGCGACCTGAAGAATGGCATTTGCCTTTAGCTGGGAGCTTACTACTACTAACATTTTGACAACAGATTTCGTGTAAGCAAAATAGCCAACTGTTTGTGTCTCTCATCAGGCCTTCCAATTAAGTAGGCCTACTTGCAAAGCCGCAACAATGGCGGACATGATTACTGGTATGATTCAGTAGAATCTTAGCGGATTAAACGGCTTGAACTCTAAGGATGCTGCACATGCAGGGCAATGTCGTTCCAATGGCCACTAGACAATTAGTAATTTTAGTACTTGTTAAGCTCTTTAGTATCAGAGAACTAACAGGTTTAATTCCCTGAGCACATGTCTGCAGCTTTAAATTTCCCGTAGGGCCTTTCATAAATCACAATTATGTACTCCTACCCTTGCTTGCTTCTAGAACACACAGTTTTCTTTTCAAGCTGTCATCCTCCTCCTCTCATCAGCTGATATAAACAAGGCATTTATATGGACCTAAATGTTTCCGTGTTTCCTTCGCCGTCCTTTGTTAAGATGCCATTACACAACAGCCGCGTCTCCGTTTCCATCGTCCGTATCGATCGATGTGTGCCAGTGCCGCAATTTTGTTGCTAGCGCCGATACGAATCGAACTGTAGCCATCACAAAGAATCGACAGGATACTGAAGAGAGAGTGAAAGGGAGAACAAGCTAGCGTAACAACAGTAGGAAAGATGGGTGTAAAAAGCAGCCTACTTTGTTGAATTTCTCGACACCCAAACAGCTTTATTAGTACTTGTGTAAGCACCACAAGTTTTTCTGTGAAATTGGTGAAAGGTTCTTTTGGAGTATAAATTTTGCGTGTGGTCTTTTGTAATAGAGAAGAATAGATATCGTACTAACTACAATTAATGGATTATGGCGACAATACAAGAGAAATAGATTCAATACTATGACGCGTAGGAACAAGACGATAGAGAGAGCTGCTCTGCTCCTGAAGCATTAGTAGCTTTCAGCAATGCTTTATACATCCAGCCGAAAGGTCGGATGAGGAGGAGAAACAGGGACACCAAGGAAAGCTCTGCACTGAGAATTGAGGAAATGGTTACTTCTTTTTTCTCCATGGTCCCTGCACAAAAGAGTGCAGAGTCAATGCCTGTCTTGGCACTGGCACCGACGGATGGAAGCTGTGTGATTTTGTCTTGCTTAAACTGCTCTGCAAAGGACATGTTTAGTGATGCAAAACCCGTGTCAATTAAATTGTCATCGACTGGAGCCGTGTGCTTTTGCATTCTCACTAAGCAACAAGCTTAGCGGCCTAAATCCGAGATCAAGGCGGAAGAAACAAACTGTATGTGAGGTCCCAACGCGACCTAATCGTAGGCAATGAAAATGATGCCACACATGTGGTTTTTGGCCTTCGAATCTGTGCTTGTCAAGCATTGGAACATGCTTACCCGGCATGTCAGTATGTATATATGTAATCCAGTATGTGCTATTTCCAACTAAAACTATTCCAAGTCAACAGTCAACAATGTGTTCTTCGTGTACGAATTTGAATTTTCAATTCCACAAAGTCACATGTCGTAACTTGAAATGCTCGTAGTAGTTGCTTAATAGGGTCTGGTTGGTAGGAAATTAGTCTCTCTTTTTTTTTCGAACGGCGTTGGTAGGAAACTAGTCGAGGCATTTCCTATTACTGAGCTCGAGATTAACCTTGTTTTACACACAACTGCATTGCAGCTTTTGAAAACGGTAATTACAACGAAAACGGTTTAATCCCTTTCGAGTAAGAAACGATTTTGTACTTTTGCCTTTGAAAGGAAGCTTCCAATCAGCACCAGCTCAGCTGTCCAAGCCTATACAGGTAGCTAGCCCAGCCAAAACTCGTTCCATGATGACGAACCGGTCTGGACCGCCGGTACCACGGAATCCCCAATAAAGACGATATAGTTGCGAACCGGAGAACCCACAGTGTGGTACAGGGGACCGGCTTCTGTGGTCCGAGCGAACGTGGGGGCCCACCGCCTGACTCCCCGTGATCATGAGTTGGACTGGCCCGGCGGCCAGGGCAGGGGGAGGCATGGCGCCGTCTCATGGGCCGAATAGGGGAGACGGGCCCGGGGGGGTGAAGTGCGGCACAGTGGCCGCGCGCGCGCGGGTGGGGGCCCGTGGAGGAGCTGGAGAGAGAGAGATAGACAGACGGCCACAGACGGTGGCACTGCGTGATTGCGCGGCCCTGTTCACCGCACTCGCGGCCACGCGGCGCGGCTGTGCGCTTGCCTGCGCGCGGCCATGTGCCATGCTCGCCACCGTCTTGTTTTTGCCTCCGCGGTGGTGGTTTTTAAAAACTTTTTTCCCCCGTACCTAGCACCGTTTTGTTGGTGTGTGCCACACTGTCTGTCCTTTTTTCAGAATTGCTACCCGCAGAACTTTCAAATTTACAGTCATCGGATTACCTCGAGATTTATGCATAAAAAATAGTTAAAAAGAAATTTTCATACATATCACGTATAAAATCTCGTTGCTAACCAACTAAATAAAGGTTGAATACAAATTTTACATAAGTTATATCGTAATTACATTATAGCTACAAGATAGTTGTACAATATAATTACATTTTAATTATACTTAACGTTAAAAACTTTTTCGCTTAAAAAAACATACGGTGGTTTTTCATATACTCTTTTCTATTTCCTCGCCAGCTGATGAGTGCACGGCACAGGCGCACGGCAGGGTCGAAGGCTTTTGCGTGCGTGCGTGCGGTGAGGGCGCAGGGTGCGGGGTGCGGCTTTCTGCTATATCTCGGTGTGGGCGTGGCGGTACGCGTGCCGGCGCATGAGGGTGAGGCGGGTGCGTGCGTGGCGTTGCGTTGCTTGCGTCTGACCGGTTGCGGCGGGTGGTTGGAGGGAAGCGGGTGTCTTTGGACTTTGGTGTTGTTGGTGGGAGTGTCGGCGACGGCGAGCCCGGTAACGACGCGGCGCACGTATAGTCCAAACTCCCAAAGCCACCCTCCTACAAAGGCAATGGCCCAAGGCCCAATACATTTTTCTACGAAGCATCCCAGGGCCCAGCTTGAGCATATGTGATTTGTTTGCAGAAAAAGAAATAAGTTCATCTGAGGTCCCTTAACTTGCCAACGAATCCGATTTTCGTCCTTCAACCAGAAAACCAGATACAACGGGTCCCTCAACTATCAAAACCAGTGAAGATGAGGTCCCTCGGCAGTTTTGAGGGCGGTTTTGGCTGACGTGGCGCATACTTGGCAAATTTGACTTGGTCTTCATATGATGTGGCATTGACGTGGCGCATACGTGGCAATTCGATCCGGAAAATAATAAACTTCGTGGGACCCACATTAGTCTCACACATAAATTATTAAAAAAATGGTGGGGTCCACATGGGCCCCACATGTCATTCTCAGCATCTCCCCCTCTTCAACTAGAGCCCCTCTTCTTCCTCCTCTCTCTCTCCCTTCTCCCATCCCCGAGGCGGCGGGCGGTGTTCGGGTGAGGGATGGCAGCTCGCGGCGGCCGGGAGAGGAGGGAGGCGGCGCGCGGCCGGGCGAGGAGAGGCGACGTGCGGTGGCCTGGCAAGGAAGGAGGAGGCGCTCGGCGGCCCGACGAGGAGAGGTGACGCGCGGCGGCCTGGCGAAGAGGGAGGCGGCGCTCGGCGGCCCAGCGAGGAGAGGCGGCGCGCGGCTGCCGGACGAGGAGAGGCGACGCGCGGCGGCCGGGCGAGGAGGGAGGCGGCGCTCAGCGGCCCGGCGAGGAGGGAGGCGGCGCGTGCGGCTACCGAGCGAGGAGGGGCGGTGCCGTCCGGCTGGGCATCGCGGGCGGAGCGGCCGACGGAGTGTAGCTGTCGCGCTCGCCGGCGACCTCCTCCTCTGCATCTTCCTCCTCCGGCAACCTCCGCCGCCCGCGGCCTGCCGCCGCTCCGCCCGCCCCTCCGCCGCTCCGTCCGCCGGCATGCTCCTGCCGCCGCTCCCCACGAGGACGAGGGAGAGCGAAGAGGAAGAGAAACGAGAGCCGAAAGGGACTTGTGGGGCCCACGTGGTCCCCACCATCTTTATTTTTTAGCTGACATGTGGGCCCACATGGGCCCCACCATTCTTTTCTTGATTTATGTGTGAGACTGACATGTGGGTCCCACGAAGTTTATTATTTTTCCGGATCAAATTGCCACGTATGTGCCACGTCAATACCACATCAGATGAAGACCAAGTCAAATTTGCCACGTAGGCGCCACGTCAGCTAAAACCACCCTCAAAACCGCCGAGGGATCTCATCTGCACTGGTTTTGATAGTTGAGGGACCCGTTGTATCTGGTTTTCCGGTTGAAGGACGAGAATCGAATTCGTTGACAAGTTAAGGGACCTCAGATGAACTTATTCAGCAGAAAAAACAAAGGTGCATATGCTTGGTTGCTCTGAATGCATTTTTTTTTCACAAGAGCTTCGATGTATCTTGAACGGACATTGTGTTTTACTGTTTACATAGTTTAGATATAATATGTTTTTTTACTAAAAATACAATATTTGCTAATCTTAAAAAATAAAGCAGGTGCAGATCCAGAAAATGGAGTCATTGAGGTCACTACTCAAATATAATGGTGTCAATACATATATAAGAGAGTAATTCTTGTTTCTATAGTGTATTAGCAAAGCTGACATCAATGCTTAACACTATGGATCCGCCACTGTTGGTAAGAAATGAACGTGCTCTGCGTTCACCCATCCAAAAACAAATTGAAGAGCTGACACGGTACGGTACACAACGTGGGGACAAAAAAGAAAAACGAGTTCAGAACATACGGCAACGCTGATGCCCGATCGACCGCTTTATAGTTGCATTCTGGCTGGCATCTTGCGAACCATGCGGTTCATGCATTCGCGTTATATTACCAGCGTAATATCATCATCCTGTGTCTCTGCTGCCTTCGTACTCGGTGAACGGCCCGAGCTGCGTCACATATGTTCGTCTCTACACGAGTGTGACTCCTCATTAGTCATTTACACGATCCTTTCAAATGGAAACGATCCAAGGGATTTATAAAAGTCGACTTGTCCTTTGTGTTCGGTGAGCAGCTAGCTGGTTGTGGTGGTGCCTCTTTATAGCTGACCGTCCCAAACGCTAGCTCAGAAACAGTTTAACAAAAGCAAAGGAATATATCTTACGCATCTCCTTTTTAATTAGTCGACACTAGACAGCTTATCTCCTATCGTTTCTCTCCTAACCCGACCAAATCAGCAAAAGTCATGCGCATCACCATGGGGGATAAAATATAAACAAAACGAGATATCATAAATCAGATGCCCAGTCGTTTTCTGAACTCTCCTCCCTGCTCCGCTTCTTCCATTGCATTGCATCTTAATTCTGACTCGAACTTGTTTCGTGGCTCGTAATCACAAGCAAGATGTCTCGGAAGCAAGAAGGCGTCGTAGAGAGAGGAGGAGATGGCAAGGTGGTATGGGACATGGGGAGCTCGCTGTACGACTCCTACGAGCTGGCCTCGCTGTGCCGAATCCTGGACAGGCACATCGGCACCGACCTGCCGTCGTTGCACGGCGAGCCACGGCAGGAGGGGCTCGCCGCCGGAGCGCCGCCGCCGCCGCCTACGGAGAGGAACGGGCAGCAGGTCGTGGTGCTCAGGGACGACCGCCGAGGCAGGACCGGGACCGGCAGGAAGGTGACGCTGCGAACGCTGTTCAGGGCAGCGGCGTCATGGGCGATCAGGCAGAGGAAGGCGCATGACTGTGCCTGTGTTGGCGCAGCTACCACTGGAGCAATCCAACCGGTTGTCTCTCCGGGCCGGCCGGTAAAACTTTGATGTTCGCCGTTCGCGTCAGTTTTTTTTTTCTTTTTTTCTGCTGGCATTTCTATATGTTTAGTCAGTTTGTTTCTATATGTTTAGTCGGTTTGTTGCAATCTGTGCAGCTTGTAATGTATCTTATTCTCTTCTAAATGGTTGTTGATCATGGAGCAACAATATCTAGTCCAACGGTGCACATCACCATCCGAGCTAGCATTGTGCACCACGTGTTATCCTTGTTAGATAATGTTAGTTAGTTTGTTATAGAGATAGATTAGTTCTGTTACCGCATGTACTTTCTTGTATCTATCTCTATATCCAGGATTGTCTCAGGTTGTTGAGATTAATCCTATCCTTTGTACACGCCACGGTAGAGGCTCTTTCTGCCTATATCAACAAAGGTGCGGCCCCGTACAGGGGTTCAACGCTTCTCATTCCGTTTTACATGGTATCAGAGCCATACCGATCCAATCCAATCTCTTGAGCGCGACGCCATGGCGAGTTCGTCGAAGAACAATACCGGCAACCCCCTAGTTGGCCAGCCCATATCAGAGAAGCTAGGAAAATCAAATCACGCCGTATGGAAGGCGCAGATTCTGGCGACAATCCGAGGTGCCCGTTTGGAAGGGCATCTCACAGGAGATGATCAGCCGCTGGCTCCCATCCTTCGCCGGAAAGAAGGAGAAAAAGAAGTTGTGGTCAGCAATCCAGAATATGAAGAATGGGTTGCAACTGATCAACAGGTACTCGCATATTTACTTTCCTCCATGACTAAAGATCTGCTTGTCCAAGTTGCAACCTGTAGAACAGTAGCGTCGGCATGGAGTATGATCCAGGGCATGTTCGGGTCAATGACCCGAGCACGAACAATCAACACGCGACTCTCCCTCTCCACACTGCAGAAAGGTGACATGAACATCACCACGTACGTCGGCAAGATGCGTGCCTTGGCTGATGATCTGATGGCTGTTGGCAAACCTGTTGATGATGATGAGTTGATCGGCTACATCTTTGCCGGTCTTGATGATGAGTTCGAACCGGTGATCTCGACCATCGTCGGGAGGCCGGATCCAGTCACCATTGGAGAGACCTATGCTCAGCTAATCAGCTTTGAGCAAAGGCTCGCACATCGCCGGAGTGGAGATCAATCTTCTGTGAACTCTGCAAACCGCAGCCGTGGACAACCACAACGCGGCGGCAGCAGGAGTGGTGGCGACAGCAACCGCGGCCGAGGAGCTCCAAGCAATGGCGCCAACCGCGGAAGAGGAAGAGGCAACCCTAGCGGTGGCCGAGCAAATGCAGGAGGAGGAACTGACAATCGACCCAAGTGTCAACTTTGCTACAAAAGGGGACACACAGTACGTGATTGCTGGTATCGATATGATGAAAATTTTGTCCCAGATGAGAGATTTGCAGGGACGGCTGTGTCGTATGGCGTTGATACCAACTGGTATCTTGATACCGGCGCCACAGATCATGTCACCGGCGAGCTTGACAAGCTAACTGTTCGTGACAAGTACCATGGCAATGATCAAGTTCACACGGCAAGTGGTGCAGGTATGGAGATTAGTCACATTGGAAATTCTGTTGTTAAAACCCCTAGTAGAAATTTACATCTAAAAGATGTTTTATATGTTCCTAAGGCAAACAAAAATCTAGTTTCTGCTCATAAACTTACTTCTGATAATCTTGCCTTCATAGAATTATATCGTAAATTTTTCTTTATAAAGGATCTGGCCACGAGGAGAACTCTGCTTAGGGGTCGATGCCACAAAGGGCTTTATGCTCTTCCATCTCCATCCTCGCACCACCATCAAGTCAAGCAAGTTTATGGAGTCACCAAGCAATCCTTCGAGCGATGGCATAGTCGTCTTGGTCATCCTTCCTACACTGTTGTAGAGAAGGTTATTAAGAGTCAAAATTTACCATGTTTAGATGTGTCTGAACAAGTTTCAGTTTGTGATGCCTGTCAAAAGGCTAAGAGTCATCAATTACCTTTTCCTAAGTCTACTAGTGAATCTAAGTATCCTTTGGAACTTGTTTTCTCAGATGTTTGGGGCCCTGCTCCTCAATCCGTTGGCAATAATAAGTATTATGTTAGTTTTATTGATGACTATAGCAAATTTACTTGGATATATTTGCTCAAATATAAATCCGAAGTTTTTGATAAGTTTCATGAGTTTCAAAGTCTTGTGGAGCGTCTGTTCAATAGGAAAATAGTTGCTATGCAAACAGATTGGGGTGGTGAATATCAGAAACTCCACTCTTTCTTTAATAAAGTTGGCATCACTCATCATGTATCGTGTCCTCACACTCATCAACAGAATGGGTCCGCAGAAAGAAAACATCGTCACATTGTTGAGGTAGGTTTAGCTCTTCTTGCTTATTCCTCTATGCCTTTGAAATTCTGGGGTGAGGCGTTCCTTTCCGCTGTTTATCTGATAAATCGCACACCTAGCAGAGTTCTCCATGATGTGTCACCTTTAGAGCGATTGTTAGGTCACAAACCAGATTACAACGCTCTTCGTGTGTTTGGATGTGCATGTTGGCCGAACTTAAGACCATATAACAAGCATAAACTCCAGTTCCGCTCCACTACTTGCACTTTCCTTGGCTACAGCACACTTCATAAAGGTTTTAAGTGCCTTGATCCATCTACTGGACGTGTTTACATTTCAGAGATGTTGTTTTTGATGAAACACAATTTCCTTTTACCAAACTTCATCCCAATGCTGGGGCAAAGTTAAGGGCCGAAATAGCTCTAGTCCCTGAACTAGCTGCTTCTTTACCTAGGGGTTTGCAGCAAATTTCTTCTGTGATTAATACTCCTGAAAATGCTAATGTGTCTAATGAGAATATGCAGCAAGATTCTACATATGATAATGAACCAGAAACGGAGACCGACGGTGCACCAGACACGGTCTCAGCTAACGCGCCAGCAGAGTCCTCGGGATCGCCGCCGATTAATGAACCAGCTTCTCCGTTCGGCGAATCGGACAGCGCCACGGCGTCCCCTGCATCTGCACCTGTCAACTCGGCTCCGCATCCGGACGCTGCAGCCTCGGGATCCTCTGCGCCACGGGGGAGTACAAGTCAGGGAGGAACTCCTTCAGTCGCCACAGATGATCCACACCCAGCCACGACAGTGACAGGACAGGAGGCACAGCGCCCGCGCACTCGGCTGCAAAGTGGCATCCGAAAAGAAAAAGTCTACACTGACGGTACAGTAAAATGGGGTATGTTAACCTCTACAGGTGAGCCTGAAAATTTACAAGATGCTTTACAAAATAATAATTGGAAATGTGCAATGGATGCTGAATATATGGCTTTGATTAAAAATTAACACATGGCATTTAGTCCCACCGCAACAAGGTAGAAATGTTATTGATTGCAAGTGGGTCTATAAAATAAAGAGAAAACAAGATGGTAGTCTAGACAGATATAAGGCTCGCCTTGTTGCAAAAGGATTTAAACAAAGATATGGGATAGATTATGAAGATACTTTCAGTCCTGTTGTCAAGGCAGCAACTATTAGAATTATTCTGTCCATTGCTGTGTCTAGGGGATGGTGCCTAAGACAGTTAGATGTTCAGAATGCTTTTCTTCATGGTGTTCTAGAAGAAGAGGTTTATATGAAACAACCACCAGGGTATGAGAACCCTTCCACTCCTGATTATGTGTGTAAGCTAGATAAAGCTTTGTATGGATTAAAGCAAGCGCCTAGGGCATGGTACTCTAGGCTAAGTGGCAAGCTTCATGAACTTGGCTTCAAGGGGTCTAAGGCAGATACATCACTATTCTTTTATAATAAATGTAGCTTGACTATCTTTCTGCTTATTTATGTTGATGACATTATTGTTGTAAGTTCAAGGAAGGAAGCAGTTTCAGCTCTTCTCCAGGATCTTCAGAAGGAGTTTGCTTTGAAAGACTTGGGAGATCTACATTACTTCCTTGGTATAGAGGTAACAAAAATCCCGGGTGGAATACTTATGTCTCAAGAAAAATATGCTTCTGATTTACTGAAAAGAGTTAACATGAGTGATTGCAAATCTGTTGCTACACCGTTATCTGCTAGTGAAAAGTTAATTGCTGGTAAGGGTACTATTTTAGGACCCAATGATGCTACTCAATATAGAAGCATAGTTGGGGCTTTACAATATTTAACTCTGACTAGACCAGATATTGCTTTCTCAGTAAACAAAGTGTGTCAGTTCTTACATAATCCCACTACAGAACATTGGGCAGCAGTTAAAAGAATTTTAAGGTATATTAAACAATGCACTGGACTTGGTCTTAGGATATGCAAGTCTTCTTCTATGATAGTAAGTGGATACTCTGATGCTGATTGGGCTGGATGCTTAGATGATAGAAGGTCAACTGGTGGTTTTGCTGTTTATTTGGGTGACAATCTTGTTTCCTGGAATGCAAAGAAACAAGCCACTGTTTCAAGGTCAAGTACAGAGGCAGAATACAAGGCTTTAGCTAATGCTACAGCTGAAATTATGTGGGTGCAGACTTTGTTGCAGGAATTAAATATTGTTAGTCCAGCTATGGCACAGTTATGGTGTGATAATATGGGAGCAAAATATCTATCTTTTAATCCTGTGTTCCATGCAAGGACTAAGCACATAGAAGTTGATTATCATTTTGTCAGAGAGAGAGTTGCTAGGAAACTTTTGCAGGTTGATTATGTGTCAACCAATGATCAAGTAGCTGATGGGTTTACTAAAGCTTTACCTGTGAAGCAGCTGGAAAATTTCAAGTACAATCTCAACTTAGGGAAAGTTGTGATTGAGGGAGGATGTTAGATAATGTTAGTTAGTTTGTTATAGAGATAGATTAGTTCTGTTACCGCATGTACTTTCTTGTATCTATCTCTATATCCAGGATTGTCTCAGGTTGTTGAGATTAATCCTATCCTTTGTACACGCCACGGTAGAGGCTCTTTCTGCCTATATCAACAAAGGTGCGGCCCCGTAAAGGGGTTCAACGCTTCTCATTCCGTTTTACAATCCTCCTTCTTCCTCCTGGTGTTGGAAATTCGTTGATCGAGTTGAAACTCTCATCCTTCATCATGTGCTGCAGAAACTAACGCGTGCACAGATGATGGATGGGTGTGGTGTGACATGAAAGTGGATCAATGACACGCGGCACATTTAGGGGAGTGTGTCGTGTCTTGACTTCTTCATGCAAAAGTATACCAACCCTGTATAAGGCCAGTCACAATGGCTAGTGTCATTGCACGGCTACCCAAAATATTATACCATCTTCTCTCAAATGAAATCTTTTATGAAACAATCCCCACAGTGGAGGGGTTTCACTTTGACGTTTCCAAGACTAAGCAAAGCATTTAATTGATACAAGTTGCTGGGATCATTTGTACCCAAAATCCGGCGCGGCGCGGGAGAATGCGGAGGTCGCACGGCGGAGGCGGACGCAAGAGATCCGGTGAATGAAACGAATCGGCCTCAACGGGGGTTTCACTCTGTTACCGAGGACTTGGAAACGACGCTGACGAGTTTCACCAGGATGAAACTCTTTCCTTCTCTCTCATCCCCATTTCATGCAAATAATCATTTTTTATTCAGTCTTACCCCTATTAAATGTGCATGACACACCAGTGAAACCCCCATTGTGACTGGCCTAAGCATCTTTGTGCGGTGCTGATGTTGCTGTATAATTGGCTCTGTATTTATGTTCTGGTTGGTGTTATGCTGAATCGCTGATAAGTGATAACTAGTTTAGCCTTCGGGCTGGTGTGTTCAACAAAACCGGTATGGGACTAGTATTCGGACCCGGACTCGCGTCGGACTCACAGGCTCACAGCCGGTAGTTTCCATATAAAGCCGAGACCAACCACGCACAATAGCAGCAGATCGATCACGTATTCACGTCTCCCGTAGTCCCCTCTTCATCACACCCGGAGAAGAAAGCGATCGACCGAATCAAGCGAGAAGATGCAGGCCGTCGCGCGGGCCGCGTCTCGCTGGTGCAGCCGCTCGCTGCTTTCCCGGCCACCGACGGCGGCGGCGGCGGCGGGCTAGCGCGGCTACTGCGGTGGTGGTGATGTGCGGTGCCGATGCGCCACCGCCGGGACGGGCGAGACCCTCGAGACGATTGCGACGAGGCTGCGTCGGCGCGAGGCTTACACCAACTGTGCCGCCTTCGCTGTCTCCGGCATCGTCACGGCACAGGTGCTGCGCTACTGTGATCTCACCAGCGGCGAAGGAAAATCGCGTGCTCGCGGTGGAGGAAAATCGCGTCCTCCACTCTACATCCACCTGGTAACAGGCGTTGTTGGGCTAGCATTGATATTCAAAAGCTCTCTTTGAAGTGGAGATCTAATAATGCTTTTTTAGATAATAGTTTTTTCATTAATCCGATCTCTATAGATATACACAGCCAAAGAGACCTAATAATTTACCTTCTGTTCTTGTGCTCACTGTTATTGTTCGTCTAACAAAATTTATACTACTAGTGTGCTCGTTCTTACTACGCGTTTTGTACAAGAGAGGACTGGAAAGTTGGTGGAGACACGTCTCAATTTCTATTCTTTACCTGTTTAAGCCGGGTTTATAATATAATACATACAATTTCTTTCAGAACAAATATAATATATATGTTGCACTTGCATCCAACTAAATAGACATTTATTTTCAGGACTATATTGACCATTCCTCTCTCCAATTTATACCGCATTTGAGGCCTAAAGGACCTCAATTTCCAGGACTTTACACTGTCCACTCCTTTCTCTAGTATATACCACATTTGATGCGTAAAGGACCTCCACACAAGCGGACATATACGCATCTAACCAAATCTATTGTGTTTCTAAGCCGCCACATGTCAACTCTCGTAAATTAGAAAAATCTTAAAAATTCTGAGAAACAAAAGCATAGCCGCCACATGTCAACTCTCGTAAATTAGAAAAATCTTAAAAATTCTGACAAACAAAAGCATAGCATATCTAGTCATTTATTTTCACTTCAACCGATGGGTCCACTATTTTAGTCCACACTACTATGGGACTAATCTTGAAAATAAATCAGCATATCATTACAACATATCATTTTTACTCGCATTTGAGAAAGTTCAATGTTTGGTCTCTTATAGTATTAGCACAAGTATGAATTGCCGTTGAGCCGCTTCTTATTATCAAAGTTTCACTTTATTACTTTCAACTAGTTAACTTTTATGCTTATTGTACTTTGGACCACCTTAATTCTCTATTTTCTAGCAATGTTTAGCCTTACTTTTAGGTCAAAACTAATTTAATTATAAAACTTTTATGTGTTCGTAGTGATTTAAAAATCAATGCTGAAAAAGAAATTACGTTGAAAATATCTTAAAATCAACATCAAAACTAAGATTGAAAATTTAAAATTTGTTTTTTTTTCTTTAGCTTATTAGACAGCCAATGTGTGGTTCTTAGCAAAGATAAGTCTCCCATATAGGGAGGAAGTTTGCTGATGTGCCAGATTCGACTTAAGATCGTTGATGTGTTAAAAAGTGGTTTAGGAGGGTCAAAATTAGGACAAAGGCAAAATTACCTAGTCCAAAATTTAAAAAGTAGAAAAAAAATGGTTTAAAACAAAACTTTGTTAATAAAAGATGGTCAAACTTTCATATACTCTTAATTTAATATAGAGGGAAAAAATTATTATGTTCATTTTGAATTCTACGAAGGACCACAATTATTGCAAAAAGAAGATACATATAGTACGATCTTGATGGTCCAAAGTATAACAATATAGATTAATCGATGAAGTGGTATATAGAATAATTGTACACTATTTATTAAATCTCATTCTATTTATAAATCGAGCTTTATACAATAAAAAATCCACTAGCCTGTTTTAAAAGGACAGGACAGCGAATGTTGGAAGGCCACAATTTAACCCCCGCTGAGGAGAGCATTCATTGCAAATTTGCAACACATGCTTTTGCATGACAAAATAACAGTACGATACATGGAACCTTCTCTTACTAGCAAGAAAAGCTATGTGCCAGAATCTAAGAGTACGCGAAAAATTCAGTAGTCTATTTCCAAAGACAGGAAATGGATTTTTTTTTCCATCGAGGGACATCTTTCGTTTTATGCATGTGTTAACAACCAAATTTGGTAATATCGGCATCGGAGAGGAAAATGGGATCGAAGCGGAATCAAAGATAAGGATTGTCGTATAAACAGAGTAAGAATCGGCGGGAGTCCGAATCGGCTACGATTAGGATCGGCTAAGTCTGGGTCAGATTGGGTTAAATAATTCAGCCGATTCCGACAATACGACTTGTGTACGACATCGGGTTCAGGTTAATGTGCTTCAAGATGATTACCACGCACGGATAGAGTCCTGGGAAGGCAATTGTATCTATTAATTAGGATATTTTATGTAAATTCCTTATAAATAAATATGGGCAAAAGTCTGCCACAAAGACTTATGGTATCTTAGAGTTTCTTAGAGATAATAGTCGTATCCGGTATGGACATATCTTGTAATTCTCGGGTATAAATAGACTCCGAGTCCTATGTAATTGATAACACACACGTTCAATACAATTTCGGCGCATCACCACCCTTTTGCTTTAGTTTTATTTTGACGAGTTCTTGCTTTCGGGTTGAGCTGCATCGGTTTCGATCTTCAACAAGAGGTAAAACTTGTTATGACGGCTTGTATGCTCGGGATTAGTGCTTCCATCTTTATGATACTCTAATCTTGTTTATGTAATTCGTCGAGTTATCATATATCTTACATAATCTCTGGCAATATCACTATCTAACCTACAATCGGCTAACATCCGTTAGTAGAGGGCAGCCGATTAGGTTAGATTTTGACGTTGATCTAGATTATATAAGATATCTACCACTCTATGAAACTTCCATCGGTTTGATTGTCTAGATATTGTCCTTCTTTTCATACTTAATGCTGCATCAGTTGAGTTTGATCTATTAAGTCGTGCTTAGAATATAGATCTCTAGCCTGCCTTCTGGTTGTCGATTAGGGTAGCATCGGAGTTTCAGCCGATCTTATCTGATTTAGCTATATTTGTTTTATATGCCTCATTAACATGTTAAATCTTCCCTTTACGTCAAGATATTGCTATATTTAAGTATATTAAGATTTTGCTTGATATATTATACTTGTTTTAATATCCTGATATAGAGTAGTATCGGAGTATTAGCCGATACATGCTAGGTCTATCTGATCGGCTATGCTATAAACATATATAGTCCCGTTATTAATATATATTTCGATCTAAGTGATTTATACTGTCTCGGCATGGCGACCGATCTATCCCAATCACTTGATTTAAATATATATCGATATAAGAACTATATATTGGTAATATCTACAGCCGATCGAGTAGGTTTAGTTCTTTATTATCTATCTATAACCGCCGATCGATTCACATATGACATCGGCTCAAAAATAAATGATATGTCATCGGCACCTAGCCGATCGGCTATCATTTATAGATTTAATCACGGTTCCTTTGCTTCTATTTCTTGTTGATTACAGGATCAAATCAACCGGCATGCTCATACATCCGAAGGCGAGCTTTGGATCTGCACTGGAGTTAAGCAGATCTCCCAGGCCACGTGTTTTCTGTCAACAGCATGTCGTTCAAAGTTATTAAAAATATTTTAAAAAATATCAAGATATATCAATATATGATATATTTTTTCACAAACATGCGAGTTAAAATTCGACTTATACAATTCGAAACAAAAATAAAAAATTTGACCAGTCAAATTTGTTATTTTTGTTTCTACTTGTATAAGTTAAATTCGAATTTGTATGTTTGTAAAGTGACATATCACATATTGATATATCGTACTTTTTTTTTCTAATTTTTTGATAACTTTTTAAGTAACATGCAAAAATGAAGGAATATCCCTTAAGGGATGAATTGAGTTTTCCCCAAAAGACAAAGGAATGGATGTTGGAAGACCACAATTTATACCTTTGCTAACAAAACACTGATTGCAATCCATGCATAAGAAAGACAGAAAAAAAAAACTGCGGTACAACGCATCGAAGCTGATCTTACTAGCATGAAAAAAACCCGTTCATTTTCAATCCACAAGGATTCCTAACACGTGGGATTTCGTTCCACGCAAATGAGTAGCGTGCAAAACCTCCATTGATATGCCCCTGCAGGTTCGGGTTCCCCTGGCAAAAAGACGCTGTGCTACGGAAGGAAAGAGGAAAGAACCGTCTCCATCGAACGCGTTCTACCCATTAAACTCGATCACGAACACGAACACGAGAGCAGCTTGCGCTGCTATTCTGAGGCCATCTCGGGCGTCCTCCGGCGGGCGGTGGGAGCGCCGTTGGTCTGGAGGTGATCGTCGGGCTTCACGCCGAGCGCCCGCCTTGCCGAGTGCGGAGTCCTCGCCGCCGTGTTCACGGGTTTCACCTTCGGCTGTGGCCCTGCAAGCGAAAGTATCAGCCCAATTTATCATCTCGCTTGATTGCGCTAGCTATGATATCGATGCGAAATGATGTGAAATTGTGAATGATCTAAAGGTTCTTGCAAAGTGAAGTGCTTTCTGGTACGGTGATAGCTACTCCAACGATGGCAAAATGGCAAATCAGATATGTAGATGCTGGTGTGCAAGAAACATCGGAACGGCTGTACCATAAATCAGATTATCCGAATCACTTTTTGGGTACGGCCATCCATCATATCATACGCCATCTTACCAAACAATGCATGCATTCCATTTGATGTTCTACAGGAAAACTGTATAAATTTTATGGATTTTCAGCTGAAAATCATACGTTCCAATGAATTCTATTTGCAGTTCATGGAATGAGATTTAAAAAATGTGGTAGGATAAATACCTGCTTGCCTGGGCGCCTTGCCGTCCGCCTTCTTGGCCGTCGGCAACCTGCCGTCGCTGCTGGCCGGCCGCGACCGCAGGGTGCCGTTCGACACGGCGGAGAAGGTGTGCTCCGGCGACATTGCACCGAACCCGTTCTCGTCGCCGTACAGCGAGTTCCCGTCGCTGCCCGAATCCGAGGCCCTGTCCTTGGCGACGTGCACGGCGCCGGCGGCCTTCTCCCTCTCCATGACCCTGTACGCGAACATCTGGAACGGCACGTCGGCGACGCGCGGCGCCTCGCCGCCACGCTGCCACGCCGGGAGCTTCTTCAGCAGCTGCGCCTCGATGTCGAGGTAGTCGACGGCCGGCTTGGGCGCGTCGTCGGTCTGGCCCTGCTGCTGCTGCTGCTGCTGCTCCGGGTTCAGGATCAGGAACCGCTTGACGTACCGGAGGACGCGGCAGATGGAGGCGAACGCCAGCCGCTGCGCCGGGTCGGCGTGCCAGCACCGCTTCGTCAGCGCGGTGAGGTACTTGGGCGCCTGGAACGGGAACAGCGGCCGCTCGCCGGCGCAGATGTTCTTGCTCGTCTTGTCGCCCTGCAGGTGGTTGTCCTCGAACGGCACCTTGCCGGTCAGCAGCTCGAAGCAGATCATGGCGAAGCTGTACACGTCGGCCTTCTCGGTGCACCTCCCCGCCGCCGCGGCGTCCGCGACGCCGTCGGACCTGAGCACCTCCGGCGCGTACCAGATGCAGGAGTTGTCGTTGCCGTTGGCGTTGCCATTGGCGGAAGCTTTTGCGCCGCCGGCTGTGATGCCAGCTGGCTGCCCATATCCGGCGACCTTGACATGCACGTAGCCGCCATCGGGTTGGCGCGGCTTGACGAGCACGTTGGAAGGGTTCAGCTCGCCGTGGTTTATCCTCTTCGCGTGCAGATACTCCATCCCGCGCGCGATCTGCAGCATAATGTCGACGGCGACGACGAGCGGGAACGGGATCCGCCGCCGCGGGCAGCTCACCTCCTTGACGTAGCTCCCGAGGTCCTTGGCCATGAGCTGGTCCATGACCACGAAGTACTCTTTCTTCTCCTCGTCGTGGAAGCAGTACGCGGCGTGCGCGACGTTCGGGTGCGCCACCGAACACAGGAGCGCGACCTCGGCGCCGGCGGCATCGGTGTCCCCGATGAAATGCTTCATCGCAAAGCTCTCCCCCATCCAATGCACCTCCTTGAGCCGGCCGCCGAGCCGCCTCCGGACGCTGTAGTCGCTGCCAAGAAGGACAGATGCCGGGTGCAGCTTCCCCATCGCCGCGGCGAGGAGCTCGGCGAGGCGGTGCTCGTTTTTGCTCAGAGGTTTCGACGCCGCAGGGCCTTTCATTTCGTCGAACATTTGCGATATCACCCATCTGTCCTCCTTCCACGCCATGTCCATCCTTGCAACGAGCTCTTGGGAGACCAGATATAGCTTGCCGAACGCGTGCTCGAACAGCTTGGGATCGAGCATGTCCCTGTCGTACTTCCTGGCGAGCACCAGCCGCCCCCTGGCGAGCTCGTCCGGGTCGGAGCCGGCGATCTCGCCGGCGGCGTCGATGGCCTCGAGCGCGACGGCGACGCACCACAGGACATTGTGGAGGTGCTGCTCCACGCACTCGGTGCCGTGCGCCATGGCCGCGGCGCGCGCCCACCAGCTGCCGCGGGGGTCCAGGCACTGCCTGACGTACGCCTCGGCGTCGCGGAAGGCGCGGTGGAGCTCGCGGAGCGGCGCCTCGATGGCGCGCCACTTGGCGCCGCGCTCGTCGAAGCGGAGCTGGGCGCGAACCTGCCCCGTGACGGCGGCGAGCGCGCGCGCGCAGGCGTCGGCGAGGAGGCGGCACTGCCGCGGGTTGATGTGGAGGTCGTCCTCGAACGCCATGAGCGCGTTGATGCTACCCACCGCCTCGCCGAGTTGCCGGAGCTGCTCCATCCCTATCGGCGATCAGCCTTGCCTGCCGATAGGACGATGGATCAAGTGCGCGCGCTCTTCTTGATTGCTTCTTTCTTCCTCTGCTTCTTTGGATGGCACGGATTGAATTCCTTTCCTGACAAGGATAAAAAAAAAGGGAAGAAACTGATGTCAAACGTGCGAAATTTTCATCCAAAGTGCTTTGATCGGCGTATGAACACGAACTTGATTGTGGTTTGATGATGACACCAAAAATATAAGGTAATAAATGCAGAAAGTAAATTTTATACATTTCTGAACATTTTACAGTTGTTGTTTCCATCTGTTTCTTCCAGCCTCCAACCATTTTAGGAACATTTTGGTGTGAACCGAGAAGCATCGAATCAGCAAAACAAAACTTCATCAACACTGCACAATTCAGTACTTTTCATCTGAACGGAACATATTCAAACACCAAATAATTCAACGAAATAAACTAAAAAACTATTCAATCCATCAAACACAAAAAAACATACTGTAGGAAACAAGAAACCAAAAGATGAAATCGAAACAAAGAAGATTAAAAAAAAAACATGCACATGAAAGATGCCACTGAAAGATAACTCACACAAGCTTGTAGGATCGCGGCACCAGGGCAGCAGTCTGAAATCCTTATCCGACCATGGACCGGCGTCTTGCTTCAAGGATCGGCCAGAGAAGAAAAGCTTAAGAGAGAGGTGCGAGAGCTCTGACGTAGAGATCCCGCAAGAGAGACAACAAGGAAAGGGGGAGGAGTCTCCAAAGCAAAAGGAGGACGATGACCAGGATGCCGACGAGGAGAAGGAGAAGAAACAAGAAGAAAAAGGAGCAGGAAAGCGCCGTTTTGGAGGGGCTTAAACTGCAGGGAGTTATGGGGAGCAGCAAAGCAAACGCGGCCGTTTCCTTCCTGAATCGTGCGTGCTGCTGCTAACCGCGAGAGGTTTTTCGCAGCCCCATTTTTAAGCAGCACACAGCAGTTGCTAAAAAGAAAAAAAAATCTCTCCCGTTTCTTTCTTTTTTTTGGCCATCGCTGTACATTGACTGGCTAATACTAGCACGCAGGCGAATGGTGTGCTGTCACTGGCCCAAATGCTCAATTGTTGCCTGAACTTGCTGAATTTACCGTGATGAGAAGAGTTTCCCGAATAGGCGTTCTAGGTAGGTTTCACATGCAGAAATTGCATGGGGTGTGAGCCGTCCGATCATGCATCCAACGGGCTCTAACCACTATACACAATACACTAACACTTAAGTATTCAGTCAGGTTCAGGCTGTTTTGAGACTTGCGACAGGTTGCTCTACGCTGTTTGCTTTCACAAACTGTATACGTGATGGTGGATAACGTAGCCGTCATCGTCAGGTGCTCGGTCGCTTGGCACGTCTCCAATGCCGCGCACGAACGGGGTAAGTGTGTGCTCTAACTAACGGCTTTGTACTTTCTGCTGGTGTAACCTCCTCTCCTACCGCCTTTCAGCCGCTGATACAAGTAGAAAACGATGCTGTACACTGACTCTGTGGCACGGCACTGACCGTTTCTCGCGCTGACGACCAACTCTGAACTCTGTACCATTGACCGGTATGATTTAAGGTATTTAATTTAATCCATGCCACCACGCAAAAAAAAAAATCAAATATGTCAACGTTCTCCACTTCTCCTCCCAGAAATAATGGGAGAGAAAAAAAAACTATCGGACTATGGAACTGGAGTAGATTATCTAGTGAAGCAAATATATTTAGTTCTCTCTTTGGTGACATTTTGCGTTGCTTGTCACGGCGCCACTTTTCTTGCTCACGGCACGATTAGGCCGCCGCCGCCGCCGCCACCGCGCCGAGAGCACAATGAGAGGCAGCGAGGGAGCGCCACGTGGCGGCTCACGGCCCGGACGACGTGGGGGAGGGGGGGAGGCCGGCTAGGTTCGTTGGTATCCGTTGCGGTAGTTGACGCGTCCTGGTCCGGTCGGTTGCCGGCCCAACCGCGCAAGAACTGCCCTTTCCGTGTGGTTGGCAGGCAGCACCAAACACAACGGCTCAGGTCACAGAAAAGTCGCGCACGACGCACCCCGGATCAATTTATATTTCCTTTTTCTGACTTAGCTCGGTCAGCAGAGTAGGTACAATAGCAAACTATTAGCCGGCTATAAACATATTTTAATGTAATAAAAGATAAGGGAGAAAAGCAGCGGACTATAGATCTATAGCCAGCTGTAGTACGGACTCCAAGACACAGTGTGTATGACTGGTGGAACCATATATTAATAATATAGTAAACAACTATTATATGAATTGGCTATTAGATTGACTATAGATAAATTGAAGCTAGTAGTAGTGGACTGTACACTTGCTCTAACCGCTCTGGTGCGATCACAGGCAACCAAATGGAAAAGGATTTTTGAGGATCTGCCACACAATAGTGGTTTTTGAGGACACATGAACTACGCCGATTCCACCATACTCATGGACACATGAAGTGGCAGGCCATTAATTAGAGTCTGTTTAGTAAGGTTTAACTTTTAAATTTAACTCTAGGAGTTGAATTTAGAGTGAAGTTATAGAATAATTTGAATTCAGTTTGACCTATCTAGTTCATTCTCTGTTACTAGTATCTTATCGAGTGAAGCTGGAACTAAAGCTATACTAAATTTGTCCTTGTTCAAGCTTCTCTAACCACATTGAGTGGTTAACTACATTGTAATATAATCAATGAAACTCTATGTAAAAAGGTACTTTCGAATTCATTCTGGAGAACCTTATTCGTACAATGGATGTCGTTGGATTTCCTACACCGACTCTTAGCTTGTCGATAGTAGTCATTTGCTATTTCACACCTTCCGTAGCTGCATATGGGCAAGCGGGCAATCAATTTGCAGTTCAGTTGTCCTCTGATGATAACTTCATCTTTGACGCGGTTGCTATGTCACTACTAGGAAAACGATTTTTCATGGCGTTGGTCTATAATTTTCGCTGACGGAAAAATACCAAAACCGCTAGCAAAATTGTAACGAGGGGGTAAGGGGCACCGACCGCCAGCGAAAATAGATCTTTGCTGGCGGTCGCGTTATACCAGCCGCCAGCGAAGATATGTCTATTATCGCTGGCGGTCACTTAGGTGCGCCGCCAGCAAAGATGGATAATTTTCGCTGGCGGTTGTGTTATACAGACCGGTAGAGAAAATGCAATTATTTTTTCTGGCGGCCCACTTAAGCAATCACCAGCGAAAATAGATTTTCGCTGGCGGTAGAAGGACAGCTTGCATAGATGGACCACCATCTATTAATATAGACCACGTGGCCCACCACCCACCCGTCCCCTCTCTCCAGCTCCCCTCCCTCCCTTCTCTCCCTCGCGTCTCTCCTCCCTCTCTTCTCCACCGCCTCCGGCGCCATCCATCCTCACCAACCAGCTCCTCCCACCCCACAGTCGGCGGCGACGGTTTAGGCGTGACGACGACGACGCGAGGTGGGCGTGCGGCGGCGACGGTAGGCGGGTGGGCAACGGCGGCGGGAGGCGAGCTCGGGCGCGGCGGCGCTCGGGAGCGGGCGGCGGCTCGCAGGGAGGCCAGATCCGCTGTCGCTGGGCCGCGGGGAGGCCGGATCCACCGCCTCCGTGCCGCGGGGAGGCCAGATCCGCCACCGTCGACCTTGCTCCGTCGTCGGCTAGATTTGATTTTTTTTCTTTTTGCATGTTGTTCCAGATGATGCACATGTTTTGATCTGTGTAAATCATGTTTGATTGTGTAAATGATGTTTGATATGTGCTGATGATAATTTTGTATTTCATGTTTGAATTTGGAAATGAGCAGCGAATCTAGATGTTGATTTGAAATTTGAAATTAATGAATCACTGGGCGGCTGCATGAGTATTTTCGCTGGCGGCTGTCTTAAGCCAACGCCAGCGAAAATGTATTTTTGCTGGCGGCTGGCTTAAGATGACCACCAGCGAAAATGGATTTTTGTTGGCGGTCAATAACCGCTAGCGAAGATCTTGATCTTCACTGGCCTTTGCTACATTTTCGCTGGCGGCTGGCTTAAGATGACCACCAGCGAAAATGGATTTTTGCTGGCGGTCAATAACCGCTAGCGAAGATCTTGATCTTCACTGGCCTTTGCTTTGTGGCGGCTGCAAATTCCGCCAGCAAAAATCCAAAATGGCCGCAACGAAAAATGGTTTTCGTAGTAGTGTGTGATGTCACACACAACATGTAGGTTTTTCACCAACTATAGAAGGTGTGTTTCTGTGTGTTCCAAATTCCAATTAATTTTCTTTGTTATCCATCAAACAAACCGTGATCGGTAATACATAGTCGGTTGAACTACAAACTATATACTAATTGGTTGTAACCTCTTTGAAGTAGAGACCGAAATACACTCCATTATCCCTACTACTATAAAAGGGCAGTCGTATCTTTCCTTCATCACATTGCACATACAACTACCCCATCCTCAAGAAAATCAGGAAAAACAAATCAAACGATTGGTTAAAAGGAAAATCAGAAAAAACGGTTGATCTTAGAGCAATCGGTTAGATCCAATCCCAGTATACTCACTCATATCACATGAGCCAGTTGCAATGCACGGGCGGCAAAACGTAGAGAAAACCGCTCTGTCTCTAAAAAAAAAAGGAAAAAAAAAAAGAACTCTTAACGAAACAAACAGGCCAGCTTATATAAATGCTACTCCATTAAAGGCCCAAAGCCACGACCGCAAATTGGGCCCAAAGGCCTAACCGCGTTAACCTGACGGCCCAACCAGGCGACCGCTCTCTCCGTTTTCCTCCTTTCTTGCGACTTCCACCTCATTCCTCCCCCTCCGACGACTCCGATCCGTAGAGATGGACCGGTTCCGACCGCTCAGGCGGATCCAGGTGGACCCCGAGCCCGCCGCCGCCGCCCCGCCCCCGCCGGCGGCGGCCGCGGCGAACGGCGGCGCGGGGGAGGACGTGTCGGCGGCCCCCGCGGCGGGGCTCCTCATGGCGTCAAGGGTGCGGCGCCGCTCGGCGGTGTACCGCGACTGCAAGGGCGACTACATCGGCGTCCCCAACGACCCGTGCCTCACCAAGATCCTCTCCAAGCAAGGTGCCCCCCGCCCCTCCCGTTTCTTTGGTCGGAAATTCGTGTGCTGTGGCCTGCGGGGTGCGATCTTGGGTTGGTAGGTTCGGATCGTGCATGTTGCGGTGGTTCAGTTGCTTGGATCTGATCCGTGGCGGAGGTGTGATTTTCTTTTACCCCTCCGATGTGGCAGTGCTAGTTTGGATAATAAATTTGTCGTGAATTGTCAATCAGCTATTAGGTGTTGATTCGATCGATAGCTCCATATACAAGTTAAGCCCCCGTAGCAAAGTGATTTTGATTGTGCGATTTGATGTGCTGAACCATGCAGAGATTAGAGCTGCTGTGCAGTTTCTCTCTGATTTTTACTCTCTTGAGTGACATATAGAATTGGCTAATACTGCTCAATAGTTGGTTGACAACCTGATTTGATGCAACCTAGCTGCTAAAGGCGTTTTAAATCATTCGTTTGCGTGAATGCTGTACTAGTTTCTAATCATTGATGTTTAAGAGCCTATTGTAGCGTGAAGAATCATCTCCAAGCAGAGGAAATTGTTTGCGGCACGGCAATTGTTGGTTCCTGCTGCTAAATATGTTGTACTATGCACAGCATATGATATTCTCACTGTACCATGTTCTTTTTGTATTTAGCATCACCAGATTTCTAAAGCAGGTCATGACCTTTGATACATTGCAGGGGACAACAAAGTTCTGTTTGCAGATAAGGTATTGAAGTTCACTCAATCAGGAAAGATGAAAAGGCGCATCCTTGTGATCACAGATTTTGCTCTCTACCTTGTTGATCCTGATGCTGATATATTGAAGAGGAGGATAGCGCTCGCGGCTGTCGATAAGCTATGTATAAGCAAGCTCAGTGATAACTTCTTTGCAATCATCGTGCCAACTGAGTATGATTGTTTAATGGCCAGCACTAGAAAGAAGGAAATAGTGGATATTATAATTAAGGCTATTAAGAGCAATTCTGAATATCAGCCTCAAGTGGCTTCTTCTAACAGGTATATGGCTACGGTCTTTGTGATGAAGCTTTGGTATCCCATACTATTAACCATAGGATGTACTCTGAACAACATCTCACATGTAGCTAATTTTTCTGGGAATGCAAACGTATGAGATTTTAAATCCCAAAAACACTTGGAAGTTAGAACTGCTATTGATATCTATTTTCCTATTAGCATCTACTTTATGAGAGCAAATGCCAACTGTCGTGATAACATTATTCGTGATTAGTTGCTACTTTTTACTGAACCTCTCAGCATTGGTTAGTGTCGTTGGGTTCAGTCTTCTGATCTAGCACCTCAGATGCCTTTAGACATTTACTGCATTTTGTTGCCAGTCTATGATAGTCTAATTTGTCAGGTTCTTCTCTCTGTAGGTTTGAATACCATGCTGCTGCTGAAGTGATTAAAGAAGTTGAGTTTGAGGAAGCTGAAGGTATGTATCTCATCCTTCATGAGCGCTAGATGATATCATTTGCTTGGTTATTGAGAAATTGGAATAGGTCTATTGTAGTGATTCTATGAGTTCTACACTCAATCGTGTGCATTTTCTTCCGGTGCCATTGCTGATTTTTGTTTAGCTAATGCTGGCGATCTATCCTGTTTCCATTAAAATTTAAAAGAAGGATGCAATGCGTTCTTAGATGTTATTGCTTCATACTTGACATTAGATTCGAAACACTTTTGCTTGATGAATGCTCACGTTGCTGATTTTTCAATACAGGAGGCGTTAAAACTAGGATCACGCACAAGGCGAAGGCGAAGTCATGATTGAGAAATTATGTATGATTGTTCCCTGTAAAATGTATAGTTCTTCGAGTTTCAAGGGATTCTTATCAGCGCTCTTTATGCAAAGTTCAAACAGACAATTCTTTGATGTATTGTGCCTTCTATTTTCTCTGATGTTTCTCTGGGAAAAAAAAGGTGACCTGTCGCTGACTATATACACTATCGCTAGATTTTTCTTTTTATCATAGGCTATTGCCACATGCTTTTGTGCTATTGGAATTTCGATTTTGGCTCTGTTCGTTACCTGGAGTTCCCAACTCCCCCATCTCATTTTCCGCGCGCACGCTTTTCAAACTGCTAAACGGTGTGTTTTTTGCAAAAAGTTTATATACGAAAGTTGCTTAAAAAAATTATATTGATCCATTTTTTTAAAAAAAATTAGCAAATAATTAATTAATCACGTGCTAATAGACTGCTTCGTTTTTCGTACCGGAGGGATGGGATCCCAACTCAACCTGTCTGTTAGAGTCTTGACGGCTCACTCTTTTGGAGAATGGAATAATTTATTCATGGCTAGCTCTGTTTGTAGTCAACACTGGGCCACATAACCATTGATACAATCGAGACCAAAGTAGAAAAATGGAATATGTGGCCAGCTGTTAAACTGTTCCAGACTTTGGCACACCACCTTTGATTTGGGACGCTGTTCCACCAACTTATATGCCATAAAATATCTGCAAATGGTGCGCTACCACACTGTATAACAAAGGCTGTCCGTCCAATGTCTGTCCAGATCAGGGGAGAAGTTCATCTGGAGCACTGCTTCTTATTTAATAGTAATTCATTTTTTTTCTGTATAAACAACACAATCACAACCAAGCATGGCAAATTAGATATTGGGTATAGATGCTCCGTGAAAGCTGCCACGCAACTCCGCGAATTAAGCCATGTTTAAGAGCGTACAGCTGATCTGTTATTTATTAGTCGTACAAAGCATGTATGGAACGGCCACTTAGATGAGATCGTTTCACTCTGATTTCCCAGAGAATCACTAATCACCTTTTGATTAAGTAAATGACCCCTATTGAGTGAGTCACTTGTCCTTGCTCCGTACTTGCCTAGGATTAGAACAGCATGATTCAACGAATGTGCTATCAAGTGGCAACGTTTGCATGAGAAAAGTCACTGAACTATATGGTTTCTTAAAATATTCATTCAAGGAGCTCAAAGAGAAGTGTGCTTTGGCTAGCTAGTCTCGCGAACGCGTCGTCGTTGGCTCGTTCCAGTTCCACTGCACGCGACGCCACAAAATTGCATCGCATATTCGCATGCATGCATTTTTCTCGTTTCCAGCTAATTAAAATAGCAAAGTCCACAGTCTACTGTATTTTAGAAACACGTATACAAGTCATTGACCATACAAGAAGTACGTCTTTTCCAGCAAGCGTATACACTATTTTCTCTGATTTCTTTTTACGATAACATAATACATTTGTCTTAAAATATAGTAACTTAGTACTCGATTAAATACTACATAATATTATGAATAATGTTAAGTGGTATCTAATAAAATGCTGGATTACCATATATTTTATTTTAATACGGAGAGAGTATCGGTTGGAGGAGGGATCTGCTAAAGTTTATCACACGTCGAGATCAGTAGATATGTGCCCTTTTTCTTCATCCTCCAGACAGATATGTGTCTATTGGTGCTACAGAATTCCACCAACTGGATCCTACCAATGAGTTACTACCCTATCACGAGCCCAAAGGCCATCATACTCCCATGCATCATGCATGAACCTGAACTTCCTGAAAGAACGGGGAGAATATTGCAGAGGGCGACCACGATCGACCACATAACCGCGGGGAAAGAAAATATCACTGTTGATCTATCTACGATCTCCACATATCCATCCATCCTTTCTTTCTATCCTCGGAGAAAATGATGGAATAGAAGCGACGAACACACATCACTAGCCCTGCCAACCTCACGAACACAAGATCGCCTTGACAGGGACGGCCACCTTCGCATCGCAACACATTGGCCTCCCTTTTGATGCAAACCACTTGTGAAATTGTGATCTCCGCCTTGGAGTTTTGCGATGAAAAGAAAAAAAAAAGAGGGAGATGAAAAGAAAAAAAAAAGAGGTAGAGATTGATTGGTCAAATTGCGTTCTGGTTTGCTTGCTAATCCGAGCCTAGCTACCGAGATTTTCAGTAGGAGTAATCGTTAAGTAGTAGTAAGTAGTACTTCCTCCGTGTCATAAAAAACCAACCTAGTACTGGATGTGACAAATACTAGTACTACGAATCTAGATATAACTAGACATATCTCTGTTCAGATTTATTGTACTAAAATATATCATATGCAGTTCTAGATTTGTTTTTTTGACGGAGGGAGCAGTACCTAACCAGCGTTCGATGGAATGTAACCATGCAATATTCAGGCCAGAGTGATGGAAATACGAGTTGATGGCACAAGAAATAGTGGTAGTGATGCTGACAGCACAATATCCAACCAACATAAGCACATAGCCTTATGATATCAGTTGCTCTTTCACCGGTTCCAATCAGGTTCCCAATTTCATTAGAATTTCGTCGTACAAATTTCGAAGCTCTCTTAAACTGCTTGTTTTTTTTTCTATCGAATTTTGAATGAAATTTGGCGGAGTTCATTCAGAATTCACGAAATTTGACATCTCGGTAGTCGCTGGGCTCGCATTTTAACCCCAGAACGGAATTGTGAACCTTGCTTCCGACATGGTGATGAGTAGCAGAGCCATCACTCTCTGGCTCTCTCGCTCATGAGAAAATTCACCAATGGATAAAGGTAACTGAAAGTATATGAAACAGTAAGCAGTATATTTCTTGTCCGGGATCAGAGAAAGGAGTAGACAGGGCAGCAGCAGATAGACAGGCACCATGTGTATCAACAGCAACATATACAGTACATGTACAGAAAGCTAACATGGAAATCTGCACATTTACAGCCAAAGATCAGATCAGCCAGTTTTTTTTTCCCTTCTCTGTTGCCATCTTGCTATCTTTTGACAAAACTAAGACCTTGGCATACATACTATCAAAATATTATATCCAAAATACTTTCCAACACGACAAGATCAGGAGCTTTTTGGCCTACAGAGTTGCCAATGAAAGGGGTTATAATTTTCTTGCATATTTCTTCAAACGATAACTCAGCATATATAAAGTAGCATGCCACTTTACACAAATGCAGATGCCACACGGCTCATCTGCATTGTTTGTGCGTGGGTTGTGGTTGTTCTGGGGTGGGTCTCTCCTCTGGCCGCTACAGCTTTCGGCTTTGGCCTGACTCTAATCCACACTAAGAGATATCCTAAGCATATTCCTTGGAGATTGGGTGAGCAAAACTGAAATAGTTAAAGTGTTCTTTCAGTAATGCCAATAGACATGCATGCCAAATGGAATTTTAGCATATTCCTTAGGCTATGTTTGATACTACGGGTATGTACAGATTGGTGTCAAAATAAACCTTAGCAAAGGGGCTGTTCAGATTGATGCTATTTTCAACCATACATTTTTTTAAGTTGCCAAAAAAAATCTACGTTTAGTTTATTGCCAAATTTGGTAATACATAACAAATCCTGTCAAAATTTTAGCAATATTGTTATCTTCCCAAAATTTTAGCAATGCCAAAATTTGGTAAAAGTTTATTTTGGCTACAATCTGAACAGGCCCACAATGCCAAAATTTTGGCAAATTGGCATCATTGCCAAAATTTTGATAGGATTGGCTTAATAATATTGCCAAAATTCTATACACATAGCCAATATTTGGTAACAAATTAAACGTACCCACATAATTGTCAATTTTACCAAATAATGATATGGATGAAAATATCATCAATCTGAACAAGCCCTACAAGTTGGAAATTAATCCTCCATACAAGTAAAACATAGCAACTTATTAGTACATAAGCAATTAAGTATTAGCTTAAAAAAAGTGAAAATAGATTAATATGATTTTTAAAACAACTTTTTATAGAATTTTTTTTAAAAAAACACATTTTAACATTCGGAAACATGTGTGCGGAAAACGAAGTAGTAAAGGTTGGGAAATGTTAGTACCGAACTCAATCTAAGTACTACTACCTCTGTCCCAAAATAAATGCAACCGTGGGTATCCGTGTCCAACGTTTGACCGTTTGTCTTATTTGAAAAATTTATATTTTTTTTAAAAAATAATCATACATAAAATACTATTCATGTTTTATCATCTAATAAAAAGGGTGAATAGTCAATACGGTCCCTAAAGTTTCGCTTCGGGCTCAATTTAGTCCACGATGTTTCAAATCGTCCAAACGAGTCTTCCAAATTAATTATTTGGGTTAATATAGTCCTTGGACCCAAAAAAGTGCCACGTGAGCACGCCAAGTCATCCTCGCATGCAGCGGTATGAATAAAATGACCATTCTACCCTTATATACCATATAGAAAAGAAAGAAAAGACACAAACAAAAAAAATAATAGACCAGCCCAAGCCTAGCATTGTTATGGATGGATGGCAGACAAAGGAATTACACGATCAATGCTTGGCTACAACAATCATAAGTGACAATTCTAAAACGATCATACACATGTAAAACATTTATCTTCTTTTTTTCTTTCTTTTATATATGGTATATAAAGGTAGAATGGTCCATTTCATTCATACCTCTGCATGCGATGATGACTTGGCGTGCTCACGTGGCACTTTTTGTGGATCCAAGGACTATATTAAACCAAATGATTAATTTGAAGGACTTGTTTGGACTATTTGAAATCTTAAGGACTAAACTGAGCCTGAAGCGAAACTTCAGGGACCGCATTAGCTATTCACCCTAATAAAAATAAAAATAGTAATCATAAAAAAAATTTCAAATAAGACGAAAGGTCAAACGTTGGACATGAACGCAAAACTGCACTTATTTTGGGAAGGTTGGAGTACTAATATAGTGCACTGTACATTATGGATCCACAGCTTTTTACTCCATTTGACGATAATTTTTTATGTTTAGGACAAGATTTAGTTAAATTCTTAAAACTTTATACATCAATAATTTCTCAATGGTTAGAAAGAATGAGTAAATTTGCCTTTAAAAGTAGTATAAAGTAATTATATTTTATAAGATTATTCTAATACAAGATCAATCGTCAAATTTATGCATACCTTTTTTTATTACTCCCTCCATATTTTAATGTATGATGCTGTTGACTTTTTAACCAATGTTTGACCATTCGTTTTATTCAAAATTTTTGTGAAAATATAAAAA